GGTGAACCATGCCCCACCCTACATAGGAAGGTGAAAAAAATCCAAGTTCCCAGGCAATCCTGGCGGAAAATTCCTCCCCAATCCCCACTCTGGCAATCAGCATGATCCTGAGCACATGAGCAAGACACGGCTGCCAGGCATCAAGAAAAAGGATTCTCTATACCACCTCAGAACACCAGCCCACGGTGTCTGGTGTCCCATCTCCAGGTGTAGCCAATCTCTGATGCTTCAAAGGAAGGTGCAGAGAAGGGGGGGTGGGGAACAACCACCCAGAATACAATTCACTGATTGTGCATGGGTGGAGGAGAATTCCTTTCTGATTCCTCCAGGCAACCGGCAGAAGCCCTGAAACATGAGTTTTGATTATAATCATTAATTCAGTGCAGAGCTGCAAGTGCTAGAAACACACTGAGGGCAATGCAAACAGACAATTCTGTTCTCTCCATGACTCATGAAGTAAAGAAATGAACACGGGGACTCAGATTCACAATAAATCCAAGGCCAGAAAGGAGCACCACAACCATGCAGTCTTACCCCTGCCCTCCCACACACACAAACCACAAAATTTCTCCAGAAGCTGGAAGAAAGCCTATATTTTAAAAAGAGATCTAATCTTATTTTAAAGACTCCATGTGATGATGAGTCCAGCACTTCCCTTGGTAAGCTGTTCCAATATTTTATCCTCACAGCTTGGAAATTGCGTCACATTTCAAGGCTGAATTTACCTAATATCAACTTCCAACCATTGGTTGTTGTTATGCCATTCTCAGCGAGGATGAAAGGCTCCCCACTCTCAGGGCTTTTTCTCATGTGTCAGTACTTATACACAATGATCAAGTGACCTCTCAACCCTCTCTTCAATAAGTTGAGTAAGTTGAGCTCCTTAAGCCTCACATAGTAAGACTTATTTTCTAGCCCCGAGTCATTTTTCAAGAATGACTGTATTTTTAAATGTGATTTTAAAAAAATTTGTTTAGTTACTATCAGGGGGGCAGCATGATCAGTTGGCTTGAGAACTGGCCTCAGAGTCAGGAGACCTAAGTTCTATTATCAGTTCTGACACTGATATACTACTAGCCTGTGATCCTTGCCCCCTCCCCACCTTATTGCTAATAGTATTAAGCATCTGGTCACAATTAACCTTTTTAGGATTCATCTATACAAAAACATAGGGTGCAGCAAGCAGAGGTGTAAATCTACAGTGCACTGCCCTGTCATGCACTGACTCGCTGTGCTGACACTGTGCAAATACAGCTGCCACTAGTCAAAGCACATCATGGAACTTTTAGTGTGTGGTAGCAGGGTCCACATGGCAACAATGCATGGCAAGCTAGTGCGCTGGACTTTTATAACCTGGCTTGCCATGCTCTAATTCTGTGTGGACAAGCCCTTAGTGAAGACTGATGCAAAATAGGCATTAAACACTTCAGCCTTTTCTCTATCATCGATGATTTGCTCTGCTTATCTGTTAAGTAATGAACTTGCAATTTCCTTCATCCTTCTTTTACTTTTAATGTATTTATAGAATCCCTTCTTATTGCCTTTTATGTCCCTTGCTGGGTGTAATTCATTTTGTGCCTTAGCCTTTCTGATTTTGTCCCTATATGTTTCTGTTGTTATTTTATATTCATCGTGGCAATTTGTCCTTCCTTCTATGTTTTGTACAATTCCTTTTGGATTTTCAGGTTCTTATAGAGCTCCTGATTCAGCCATATTGGTCTCTTACTATTTTTTTTTAATCTTTCCTCCACATTAGGATAGTTTGCTTGAATACTGCATACTGGTCACTCCATCTCAAAAAAGATATATTAGAAATGGAAAAGGTACAGAGAAGGGCAACAAAAATGACTAAGGGTTTGGAACATATTCTGTATGAGGATAGATTAAAAAGACTGGGACTTTTCATCTTGGAAAGGAGACAGCTAGGAGGGGATATGATAGAGCTCTATACAATTGTGACTGGTGTGAGAAAAGTGAATAAGGGAGTGTTATTTATTCCTTCACATAACAGAAGAACCAGAGGTCACTCAATGAAATTAATAGGCAGGAGGTTTAAAACAAACAAAAGGAAGTACTTCGTACAACACACAGTCAACCTGTGGAACTCTTTGCTGGGGGATGTTGTGAAGGCCAAAAAGGAACTAGATAAGTTCATGGATGACAGGTTCATCAATGGCTTTTAGCCAAGATGGTCAGGGATTCAACCCCATGCTTTGGGTGTTCCTAATCCTCTGACTGCCAGAAGCTGTGAGTGGATGACGGGATAAATCACTTGATACTTGTTCTGTTCTATTCATTCCCTCTAAAGCATCTGGCACCAGCCATTGTCTGAAGACAGGATACTGGACTATTTGAACCATTGGTCTGACCCAGTATGGCTGTTCTTATGTTCTGTTGTGCCTTTACTGTTGTCTCTTTTAGGAACTCCCAGTTGTCCTGAACTATTTTTACCTTAGATATTCTGTCCTAAAATATCCATACACATGTTTTGGGGCAGTCTGTGTAATTAAGCAATGGTTCAGGAATGCCACAAGGCAATATAGAGGAGGAGCAGCAGCTCTGGGACTCATTGTACTTCATGGGGAGTGTGCACATTGCAGCATGTTCTCGATGATGTGCACCTGGCCAGCCCCTCAGCCTGCATCTTTCCTCCCTGCCTACTCCCTCTGAGTGATTTGTGCTCCTACAGGTACTAGAGAGCACAGTTCCTGTGTTCCACGAAAGCCAGGACTGAAATTGTGACTAGTGTTTATGAAAAGTATTCATCTCCCCCTTATTGTCCATCCAAACTAGAGCCAGACACAATTTCACCATTGTGTGGGCTGGAATACCCATTCTTAATTGGCCTGTGGTTGCTGGGAGAATCCGCCTCTCAGTTACAGTAGCATAAATCTGAACTAATGCCATTGACTTCATCAACATTCAGTGCAGCTTCTCCAGCTTCCCCAAACATTCAGTGGTCTACCCCAGCTTTACAGAGGTGTAACTGTAGAATTTGTCCCTATATACAGCATACTCCCAACTATCCAAATAGCATGGGGGAGACAGATTTTATTCGGATAACTGGGAGTTCGGATAATTGAGAGGTGACACCGGATCCCTGCAGGCATAGGGTGTGGCGGGGGGGGAGAAGACTGCAGTCCTGGCAGGGCAGGTCAGAGACACCTGCCCCCCCAACCAGGACTCTGTTCTGCCCTACCAGGACTGCAGCCTTCCCTGCACCTTGCACCTGCAGGAATTGGATGTCCCCAGTCCTGCAGCAGCTCATGGAGCCCTTTGCTGTCCTGGCCCCACTCACTCACTCACTAGGAAGGATAATAGGGTTTTGGATAAACGTGAGTACACTGTATTTAGTTATATGACTGTAGTAGGTTTGGGCCGAGGTTCAGCCCTCAGTGGGGCTGTGGGGTGTCCCACCGCCTCGCTCTGGTCCGGTGGTAGTCCGGGGCAACAGGCACACAGTTAGGGGCTAAGGCCCATAAGTAGGGGCTGAGTCCAGAGGTCCGAAACCCAGGCCCTTAAGCAAGGGCTGAGGCAAAGTCTATAGCGGCCCAGGCCCTAAGTCAGGGCGGGGCAGCAAGCAAA